TTGTTTTGTTTATAGAATATAGACTGGTGTTCCGAGGGAGAGAAGTGCATGTCACTTGCTTTGAACATGATTCTAAAAAATGTTTATAAAATACTAATGATGGAATAGGTACTGTAGGATAAAATGGAATGTCATTCATATACTGGCCATATTTGATTGACAGTTCTATTCTAGGTAAAATGTAACATGTCATAAGTGTGAGTTCAGTTTGTGTCAGTGTCAGTCTGATAGGAAATGTTTATGTAATAATGGTTAGTGTTTTAAAAAACGAAATACAAAATTGTAAATGATTAGGTCAAAAAGGTCACATTACTGACTGAGAAATATAAAATAATAATGGCGGAATTCTAAAACAAAAACGGAAATTTTAAAACATAAACGTAATTATAAAATTGTCCATTACTGATCGAGTTAGGTCAAGAGGTCAAAGTTAGTTTCAAGATTTATAATTAAAGGGACACATCAAAGTTTATTAATGATTAAATGAAGTTTAATTTTAATTAAGAGTACGATTTGCTTTAAGGTTTCAGAATAAAATATTAATAATAATATTACACTAATATCAAAATAGTTTTAAAGATTTAGGAATAGTTAGTTCTTGGTCTGATGGCAATGACATGTTTGATTGACGGATAAAATTGTACAACCCAATCATACTTAGAAGAAAAAAAGAAAGTTTTCAACTTGATACCATGGTAGCTGAAACAGACCAATACAAATCCAAGAAGAAGATATGGTTTACCAGTTTACCAAATTGAGATATCCTGAGACAGAATTTAAAGTGAAACCTGAACTTTATAAATATTACGTGATGTGTTATAGTGTTTTGAAATTAGGACACTTGAAGATTTAAAAAAGACAATTTGTGTTTTCTGTGTTTAGGCTTAGTGAATTTTCATATGATTTTACAGTGATGAACTTTTTGGAGAACTTTTGCATGCAACTTTTGATTTTTGATTATGTGTGTTTGTGTTTTCACAGTTTTGTTATATAGTATAGTATATTTGCCTGTTGCATGAATAATTATAGGGTTTAGCACATAGAAGTTTTAAGAGTCTCCTACTTGTTCATTTAGCATAAATCTAGCAAGTGTGTGTGTGTGTGTGTGTGGGGGGGGGGTGATATATACTATTCAAAAAAAGTAGGGGATATTTGATTTTGGGGGCATAATACTCAAATATGCAAATGACTACGAAAAAAGTCACTATAGAACCTAACAGAAGAAACATTTCCAGTTACATGTGACGCCCAAACGCACCAATAGCTACCGCATGGAATGCAGGTGATGCTTGGGATCATCATGGGGGTCCAACCCAAGATTTGCACGACTCTGACTTTGAATGTTACAGTCATTGTGGCATTGAATTCCAGGGTGGAAACATCAGTTTAATTGTTTTAGTGACCAGAAAACAAATTTTGATATGCGTCGGCTTACCCAAAATGAAAGGTTACGTGCCCTTGGCATGCTACAGATCGGCACAACACAGGCGGTTGTGGCGCGGACGATGAATGTTTCTCAGTCTGTCATAAGCAGGCTATGGTCCAGATACCGTGATACACAATCTGTACAGGACAGACCACGCTCAGGTCGACCAAGGGCGACAACTCAAGCCCAGGATCGATTTATCCGTACATTGGCCTTGAGAAATCGTGTCATCACAGCAAATCAGATCAGCGCTCGTCTTCAAACAGACACTGGTGTGAGAGTGAGTGGCCAGACGATTCGGAATCGACTGCATAGGGGTCACCTTCGCGCCCGACGTCCTCGCGTGATCCCTTGTTTGAGAGATTATCACATTCAGGCAAGACGTCGTTGGTGTAGGGATCGTCAACACTGGGATAATCGACGCTGGAGCAATGTGATGTTTTCAGATGAGTCAAGGTTCACTGTTGATTTTTTGGACAGACGTAGGAGGGTGTGGCGTCGTCGAAACGAGCGCTTCCAAGACGTTAACGTCATCAGACATGATCGATTTGGGGGTGGTTCTGTTATGGTGTGGGGAGGCATCACTGTTGCTGGGAGAACGGCTTTACATGTTGTTGCAGGGCGTGTTACAGGCCAGTACTACCGGGACAACATCTTGGCAGTCCATGTTGTGCCGTTCGCACGACGTCATGGCCGCCGTTTCATCTTCCAGGATGACAACGCAAGATGTCACAGGGCCAGGATCGTTACAGGTTACCTCCAACAACATTACCTTGGCCAGCACTGAGTCCCAACCTCTCCCCCATCGAGCATGTCTGGGACATGCTTGGACAGAGGTTACGTCAACGTCAACAACGTCCTGCCAATGTCCAAGAACTTGCTGCTGCGTTGCAACAGGAATGGGACAATCTGGACCAAAATGACCTTAGACGTCTCATTAGGAGTATGCCACGTCGGATCAATGCTTGTTTGGCAAACAGAGGAGGATTTACCCGTTACTGACTTGAATGTGATGCTGTTGTAACTTTGCTGTTTGACCCCGGGTATCATTTTACCCTTATAATGGTCAGTCTGTGCCTTACTTAGTCTAACGATCATTTGGAATAAATCGATGAATGTGAACTTCATTTCATTTTGTAATTTGTTTCTTCGTCAGTTTCATTAGGTGACTTTAATAACACTTAAAAATCAAATATCCCCTACTTTTTTTGAATAGTATATGTTGATTTTCTAGATTTCTGCTACATTTATGAATAGTTATATAATTCTACAGATGTTGGTATGGTTATTATAAAAGATTCGAGGGATCTTTTACACAATACCGAGCAAAAAGTCTTAAAGAAAGGGACGAATGTAATACTTTTAGTAGAATTTTTGCTCAAGAAATAACATATTCGCATAATATGTGATATGTACTTAAAATACTTAAATCAACTTAGGGTTTGAATGATATATTGTGATATAAAAACACTTGTAGAGCCATAACATAACTGGTTCTATGTCAACAACATGTTAACAGATATCTCATGAGAATATTCTTCAGTTAAATTCCATTCCCCCATATAAGGGTGGGTTGTCGACGTCATTGGGCTCAATTAACCAATCTCTATAATTATTTACATCATATTTGACCAATTGGATAATTGAATGTCCAAAACCAGTAGATACAAAATTAGGTTCCAGAGAACTAACATCTGAGTTCCTAGACAGCCGCGAGGCTGGCTAGGATAGAGAAATGGTTTTAGCTAGTATTGTTATCTATTATGCTTGTATACCTGTATTCAGCTATATATATATACAAAATATGTAGAAGCAAACTGTCGCATTGTTATTCCTGGTAAGACAGACGTCTTAAGAAACTGTAAGAAGTAAATACACAACGTGAAGCAGAAGTAAAGACAGCTAGAGACAAATTCTAGACGATCACAAGGCTACAGAAATATGTAGTAAGAAAAGATGCATGGGTCTACGTAGGATGTGGCGACCGGTTTCCTGGTCCGCTCTCCACGTCGGACAAAAGACCTATGGTGCTACAATGGACACTTGACATGCTTTGAGAGTACGTTCACAGATGAAGAACTTATCGCCCCAACAGAACCACCGAGCTGCATTGGCGACACGCAATAGCGTCATACACGTGGGAGGGGTTCATAGTCAAATTTGACACTTCAAGGAAGGGTTGATGAAAACTGCCGCGTGCTGGATTAAGTAAATACACAACGTGAAGCAGAAGTAAAGACAGCTAGAGACAAATTCTAGACGATCACAAGGCTACAGAAATATGTAGTAAGAAAAGATGCATGGGTCTACGTAGGATGTGGCGACTGGTTTCCTGGTCCGCTCTCCACGTCGGACAAAAGACCTATGGTGCTACAATGGACACTTGACATGCTTTGAGAGTACGTTCACAGATGAAGAACTTATCGCCCCAACAGAACCACCGAGCTGCATTGGCGACACGCAATAGCGTCATACATGTGGGAGGGGTTCATAGTCAAATTTGACACTTCAAGGAAGGTTTGATGAAAACTGCCGCGTGCTGGATTAAACTATTCATGTTTGCTTTCCTATCGGTACTTGCATAAGATTTACTGTTTAGCGTATCTTTGCTTTGGTGTGTTACGTTTAATTTGATCGGGAGACGTGTTCGTCGACGTTAACGTCAACCGACAACATCGCAAGAATTGGCCGTGGCACTGCAAGAGGAGTGGACCAGATTGTCCCAAATCGTGATTGGACGGTTGATTAGGAGCATGCCACGACGAATTGCTGAATATCTGAGGATTGGTGGAACAATTACTTATTATTAAGACAGATATCAAAAACGTCCATTTTTACTTTTGACAGTTTATCTCTTTGCGAGTGAAATGGGGCCGTCAGATAAGCCGCCCATATGAACTGTTTATGTATATGTGTACGCAATTGGCCTGTTATGAACATACACTGGTTACCTTTAATAAAAACAGCAGTGCATTTCCGCAGTTTTGTATTGTTTCTGAATATCCCCTCCTTTTTTTAAAGAGTATATTTAATGTTATCATAAATATTTCAGTGGATACTCAAACAATATCATACAGACCGACAAAGAATGTTAACAGGGGGCTTTTCGAAACCGAATTATCATTGTGCAATCTACGTGAACAAATTGTTCGTTTTCAAAGACTGCCAGTCATTTTAATCTTTTATTCCCACGCACCAATTTTCGTCAAACACTAGCTACTAACCATGTTATATGAACCAAATAATATTATAAATTAAATTATATGTTTATGGCCCGTCTGCTAAATTTGATTATTACACCCGTCAACATATATCTTAGAAACGACATTATGTTTGCAATACAAATGTGACTAACTTTAAATTAAACATTTTGCTATTTAAATTATCACAGTTTACAATTGAAGTTATGACAAATTTTAAAAATTTGTTTTATATTTTTTTCATTTATTTGACTTGAAATTATATTTTAGAATATATTCAGCTAATATTTGTTTTTATTGGCGTATATGTTTAATCTTGTAAAGATGGCCATTTGCAGTTGGTGTTTCCATGCTATTTTTAATTCTATTTGAAGGCTAGAATGTCAAACGTTGGTAGTCAGCCCGAGAAGTTTACTCTACAAGATGATTTTGAAGAAAGACGAAAATTGAATCCCACCCAAATGGTAGCGAAAATAGACGAGTGGGTCAGAGCTGGAAAATACGAAGACGTGAGATTTTACATTCGATATTTTTCTCATGTGAAAAGTTCAAATGGGTAGGGGAGGGGAGGGGAGGGGAGAGGAGGGGGGCGGGATCGGGGCACTTAGTCTTCGTATATTTTGTCCATTGACCGGCATTTTGTCTTCTGGTTTGAATTGATTAGGTTTGTTTTATATACATGTATTGAGTTTGCACTGTCCTTTATCTTTAATCTTATCGTTACTTCAAAGTTACGTGAAATCAATACGTGATTCAATAATCTCACTCTGTGACCAATTAAAATGTAAATGTAGCATTTAAAGATGTATTATCTAAACAAATATAAATATTTGGCCGTTATTGCTATAATAGTTAAAAAATAGATAATGAAAAATTAATCTTTTCAAAATGTTAGCCAAAAATACCCTATTTTAAGCCCAGTTATAAAATGTGACAAGAAATATGCTAAATTGCCGCCATTGTCAAGTACTATTGCCATGATAATAAACGGTCTCGATTTTCAGTTAACAAAGACATGTCAGACATTGTCTAATTCATTCAATATCTTAGCCACCCGGTTTCTAGATGGGCTTGGCATGTGACAATGTGCCTAAATAATAATTTATATAACATTTGAAGCCAGAGAAAGACGTGCAACTGGCAGATTTAGCTCTTGCATAATGCTTATTTATATACTGAAGATGGGGTTGCCAAGGTTATCGATTTTAAGTCTGTTGTTATTGATAAAAGTCAACAGTATTAAATAAATGGAAATGAGGTTTAACGTCCCGATTGTGTGCACCAACCGGGATAATGAAGAAAGCACAGACGTTGACTGTTAAACTTTCCAAAATTCTTACAAAAAAACAATGTGCGAGATAATTCGTTTTTTATCTAAAAATAAAATAAAACCCTTTCAACGGATTAAGAAAAATTTGCTGAATAAAATAAAATATTTTAAAATGTATAGTGCAAGGGACTGACATATAGATGGTTTAATACAGGGCAATATTATACAACCGATATGATGTATGAACCGGTTTCACTTGCAGGACAAGGACAGATGTCTAGTCGTTCGGATGGGACGAAAAACCGAGGTCCCGTGTACACATTGGTGTGCACGTATGCACGTAAAAGATCCCATGACAGTTGGAATTTGATATAAGAGTAGGCCGTAGTGCCGCTGTCCGGGCAAATTTTCCCTCATAACACACTGTATGGCGTATGTCCGTCTTCATTAGCCCAGTTTGGAGCAGAACAGTAGGGCGTTAAACCCCATTTCATTTCACTTGCAGGACATGGATTCTATAGGTAACCAAGGATACCATATTGTTAGTAGAACAGTAGGAGAATATTATAAAACAAACCGAGAAAATATTAAAGTTATAGATGTCGCTGCTGGTACTGGATTAGTATCTGTGGAGGTAAATAATGTTTACTAAAGGCATATTTTTGCTTTCAAGAACAAGACTTCATTATAGATAGACAGGGTGTCCTGCTGAATACAATGATACATCACAGGCTATCCAAGTTTGCATGAGACGTCTGGTAAGCGTTATGTTAAATTGCCAAGTCACTCTACAAATTTAAGGCTGGTGATACAATACATTACGGAACAGCTTTCCTTAGTCGCAAGAAAATAATACAAACAGTTGATTGGATTGATATTGACACGCCCACGTAAGGTACATTTTGAATGTCTCATATGTTTGCGGTCACACATCAGTTCTTTGTTCAAATAATTACCAAATTAAATAGTCCACTTACTGTTTAGTTGATATGATCCATTATATCTTTTGAGTTATGTATTCTTTGATTTACTCTTTAGCATCTATTAGTACAGTACTTGTGAAAGAAACTATGCTTTTTGTAACTCTACGTTTTTAGCTAAAGAAACTTGGTTTCAAAGACATGGATGCTGTTGACGCTAGTGAAGAAATGATGAAAGTTGCAATTAAAAGAAATATCTTTAATAAATACTATGTAGAGTATGTTGATGGTCATAGACTGCCTATTGAAACAGGTTAGCTTTATAGATCTTGGGACGAATGGTGGGCTCTTTTTTTTCAAAAGAGTGTGATGCGAGCGATAGCCTAGTTCAAAGGTGAAACAGGCGCCTACGTCTCAAACGTTCAATTAGTTTTGTACAAAAATTTAAAGGGGCTTATGCTCTGGGATCAACACTATCATGCTAAACTATCACTGTTTAGACACAGTATCTAGAAACAATCTTTTTTTCCACTTGAAAAACAAAGTACACCAATTAGGCATTCATATCATATAAATTTCGTATAATTGTATATTAATTCACACCCGCCATTGCCACTGGAATCCATTATGACCTCTATTTAATTTCATTTCAATTCCATATATTTTGTAGATGCCTATGATTGTGCTGTTGTATCCGTGCGATAGCCTAGTTCAAAGGTGAAACAGGCGCCTACGTCTCAAACGTTCAATTAGTTTTGTACAAATATTTAAAGGGGCTTATGCTCTGGGATCAACACTATCATGCTAAACTATCACTGTTTAGACACAGTATCTAGAAACAATCTTTTTTTCCATTTGAAAAACAAAGTACACCAATTAGGCATTCATATCATATAAATTTCGTATAATTGTATATTAATTCACACCCGCCATTGCCACTGGAATCCATTATGACCTCTATTTAATTTCATTTCAATTCCATATATTTTGTAGATGCCTATGATTGTGCTGTTGTATCCGGTGGGTTTTCACAAAGTTTTTTGCCATGCAATGCTTTGTTTGAAATTGTTAGAATCGTTAAACCAGGTAGTTATTTAAAACGTATTTTATTACAACAACATGTTGTTTTCGTTCCGTATATTCGGCTGGAATAAACAATTACCAAAATGTAAAGAGTACGAAATTTGGGTACAATTTTGTTGAATCCTAAATGCGCGCATTAAAATTAAATCATTTATTTGTACACTTACAATTTCTCCAAATTATTGACACAACCCTTTCTTGAAGAAAAATGAAGACATTTAAAGCATGGTAAAATTGCAGGCGAATCGGTGTTACTTTTGTATTTACTATTTAAACTGTCTACTCAAATACAACGGATGAAAGGTCAGGTTTGATCAATTTTTTCAAATTTGACCAGTTTTAAAGAAAACATCGTAACATAAATATTCAGAAATGCATTGTTTTGTGGCGGGGGTAGCGTAATTAAAATCCTGGGGCCATATGTAATAAATAAAAAATAATAAATATGATCCTGGCCCGATAGCATCAGTGTGTAATTACGGTATTTGCTCTACGGCCATGTGTGTCTACATGCCACCACGCGGGCTTGGCAATATTTACCCACTGTTGTTAATCGGGTCCTTTGTAATAATTAAATGATTTTGTTCGTTCCTATAGGTGGTATCATATGTATAGAAATGATAGAAAGCAACTTAAATCGTGTACCAGAATTTGTAGAGAGACTAGAACCATTATGGAAGAAGTTTGCTATGGAAGGAGTATGGGAGGTGTTGAAAAAGGATATTATACCAGAACTTGTAACAGGAGAGAACGGATTATTAATGATATATAAAGTTTTAACATCTGAGATATCTTTTCCACAGTTACCTCCGCTTTAATGATAACTTCATTATCACAATGTGGAAGGCGTATGGGAGGTATTGAGAAGGGCTGCTATATCCGAAATTGTTACAGAAGAGAACGGATTATTAATCACATATATAGTTTTAACATCATCATTATGAATAACACGGTTACCTCTGTTTTAATTGGGGGTCGGATGGTTAGCTCGTGCTCGCTGTATCATAAGGCCTGTCATTGAGTCAACTGGCGTGGTTTCGATTCCCCTGTCCAACTTCGTGGGTTTTCTCCGGTTCCTCCGGTTTCCTCCTACTACTAAAAACTCCTACGGGCTTGCGAATTAATGAAATAAAATTGAACCATATTATGTTTGTCCAGAAATGACGTAGTTTGTGTCCAATGGACGTTACACCCCATTTCTCTCTCTATCTCTCTTTGATAACTTCATTAGTCGTCTTGTCACCGATCTCATTATTTGTGTATATAAAAAATTTTAATGGATTTGACGGCAATTTTCTTTTATTTTGATCGGCAATTCTGACGGTGGAATAATCTGAGGCTGAATTGCATTTACTGAAATGTATGATACGTGGTTAGAAAGGAATTTTACTATGCATGACAAGGAATGAATGAATGAATGAATGAAATGGGGTTTAGCATCCTACAGTTCTGTACCTGCAGTGTGATATGGTGGACATTTTGGCCAGGGCACCAAGTGATTTTTTTACGTGCATGCCAATTCTTACACTAGACATCGGTGTTTCCTCCATCCCATCCGAACGACTAAACGCTTTTACTTACCAGGCCTCACGCCGGAAAATCTCAAAGAACTCTCTCGGTCAACACAGGGAGCAAACCTGAGTCACCGCGGCTCCGACATAGTAAGGAGGAAATGTTACACTCCATAAATGCCTCTGTAATGAAACTATATTTGTCCCAGTCTTGTGTTATTTGCGGGGGGGGGGGGACGGGAGTGAAAACAGGAAAGCCCCCCCCCCCCGCACACACACACACTAACTGAATGCCTCCAGAGGCTAATCGTGCCTTCGTGCATTTCTCCTAACTACATCTCTAAGCATACGGGTTCAGACCTCAACTGGCCATTTCCATGCATTTTTACCTACGGAACAGGACTATATAAGTCAAAATATGATGTTGAGCTGTATTGGTATGATCATCGACACACCTACAATTGTGACGCTATAAAATTAACATTGTTTAAAGGGATATTCTTCCGGGTTTAAACACAAATACAGAAGGGGATTCGGCGGTCATAAAAATACAACAAACGAACGATATATTGAAGTCTATTTTAAAATAACACATGATAAAAGCCCAGCTGAGAAAAAAAATTCTATTATTTATTAGATAATCATTTCTATGTTTTATATTAGATTAACCCCCAATCATGTTCTTTTTAAATTCCTAGTTAGTTGCCTTTATTAATTCAAAATTTAAACTCACACATCGTAGCGAATGATTAATCTTTTTCTTTTAGTCGCTTCGAACATGATGGAAATCACCCAATCACTGAGAACTTTATTTTATTGCGTTCACAAGCTCTAACAGTCATAATGGGAACGCTAGAACGCGTTTAAAATTTTAGAATTGTGTCGGGTTCTTTATAATGCCACACCGAGTCGTCTCCCCCAGTTTTACAAAATTCTGGGAATCACATCTCGTTCAAAATATTCCGTGAATAGTAAAAGGGGGATAACCCATATCATCAAAATACTCGACCGTGTTCCTCGTGCCCCACTAGGTTTTATCAAATCACATTGAGAACTGTCTCTTCGAGTTCACTGACTTTAACAGTCAAAATGTGAATGAAATAATAACTACGGAAAACGCGTTCCATATTTACGATTCGAATATTGAACTTTGATAGCATTTTTCCTATGCCATTATGAACAGATTCACCAAGTATTCAAAGGATTTCGTAAATTTAACTATAAAAAATACATCATGAATTTCGAGAAGGTTCCTTTAGCTGCAAGTTAACAAATCCACCAAGTTTTAAAAACAAAACATAGAGAACGCTATCCCGTAACCTGATCACAAGTTTAAAAAGTCAAAATATGACCGGAAAGACAACCCCGCAAAATGTTTTCGAAATTTACCAGGGCCACAAAAAAATGAGCCTTCTCGTTGCAATCACGATCGAAAAATTCTTAATTGCGATAGGAGCCTGTCAGTGAGCAAACCCAGCAATATTGAAAATAAAAATCCCCCAAGAGTCCGGCGTGTGGAGTAGTAACAATAAATCATCGAACAGTGGCGTCTTTCTTATAACCCAATCAACAATTCCTGCTAATTTAAAAACAAAAACGATACCTGGAAAACTAGTAGAGAAATTACTCGAAACTGACGACGAGCGACCGATCTCCGGATTACAAAATACGTCCACATAAAAGGCAATCTTACAAAAACCGATCTTTGTTTCACTAGACCCAAGAAACTACCCCTGTGAATTTGATAAACAATCCTTCAAAACAAAATTCTGACTTGCAAAGAAGTAATAATACATTGTCGCCGAATTTTGTTTTCTTATTTTAAGATATGAACTGTTAACTTCCTGTACGTATATAAAAATAAATGCAGCGGGGGGGGGGGGGGGGCTGCAATACACGCAGATACACAGTGAAACAGTCACCACCTTTATAAAGACCAAGTTCCTCGTTTAGTTTTTCATTTTAGAGTTTTTATATTTCTCCCTTGCTTTCTTTGCCAGTATGGTAATCGCGTGACCTTCTGACCATTTCATCTTGCTACAGTCTTCAGAAGTAACACTGAACGCATCGTGCCATTGAGTTTTAGCGAACAAAACCTCTGGTTTTAATTTCCTACCAAAATTACAGTAATCAGCTACACCACTTAAAATCTTCTTAAAGTTATAAACTTCCTCGAAAAAACTAACGTGCTGTCTCTTTAATATATTCCAGAATTGTTTATAAAAATAATCGTACAGGGGAACATCGACGGGTTGTATAGCTTTAATCATCTGTCTATCCTTCTGTGACAAAGCGTAACCCCTTTTCTCGAAGTTCACATTTCTCTTGATGTACAGGATGTCTTTAATATCCCAACACAACTGGTGTCGGAGATAAACCAAAGATTCGTCAAAATATTCCATAATCATAACAAAATCATAATCTTTATCGATGTTGTCAATGAACCTGTCTACTTCTGTTTTATTAACTTTCCCCCGCGGTAGAAATCCTAAATCGTAACTAGGACCCAATACTCCATACGGAAATGGCTTCTTTAAAAGTGCTTTAGAGAAAATGTAAGGGTTGTCTTCTGATTGGGGATAATCCTCTTTCATTTTAGCCACCAATTGGTAGTAGAAGGTATACGAAATGAAACGTTCAACTGGGTCTCTTAATATGGCAACATAATACGAATTGTTCGGAAACAGTCGTTTAAAAATATCATGGTCATGAACACTGTGAACAAACATGGTGTTATATGACTCTCCTTCTGGGATGGGTATAATCTGAGACATGTATTGCTCTTTCAGACGATTAAGAACCCAGTAGCTTTGTTCTGTTGGGTCTTTATCTGGTAGGAGAGCATTTAATGCGTTATTATATGTGTAACGTTGTAATATATTTGCTACGGTTGAACTTCCACATTTATGAACTTTTAAAAAAACGATATTATTCTGTTTAGCAATACAAATCGGGTTTGGCTCACTTGTGTTGGTTGTCTGTACTTGTGTTGTAGTATGGTCCGTTGTTGTTTTTGAATGCGCCGTCTTCATAGTTTCATTTTGGGTTGAAAACTCGTTACTATTGCTTCTACTAGCAGGTATAGCTATTGGTCGTTGTACATCGTTAGCAGTGACGATTTTTTTTCTACCCACAATTAAGTGAATACACAAAATTCCGAGAAATACAAATCTGTAATTAAGTAAGACAAATTATTATTAGTTCTCAGAAAAAAAATCCTTTAATCTCTCAACTGCAGAATTAGGGACGGGGTGACAGGTGACGGTAATTTATTTCCAAGTCAATTATGAGCGTACACTCGTATTAAAATGATATGGATTTCTGACATTAATGAACCCATTGATAAGAGGTACACAAAACTTTCATCCAATGACTTAAGCATTTAAATGAAGTCCCACACATATGCTTTGTACAATGTATTATCTGTTGCAGTGGTGTACTGAGGTTTGGTGAGGACCTGAGCCAACTCACTAAATCAATGCCTGTAAGCCTCAAGCTAACTGACCAACATTTTAATACCTAAATGGACGATTTTTGCCGAAAACACTAAGTATATTTAGAATTGTACGTCCATGTAATAAAATTGAAAATGCATGTTAAGTCTTTGTGTGTATGAAATATGAAAAACGGATTAGAACGACATTACAGCAGAGTATACTAATTTTTAAATATGGCACCAATTCAGGGCAGAGATCTATTATCAAAGTAGATAGTTCTCTGTGTGTTGAATGTAACAGAATTAGACAAGCCTTTAGCTTCATACTTACGATATAACAATAAACAATCTTTGCTTCATGGTCCTCTGCAGAATATACACCTGCATAAAAAATATCGGAATTTATTACGTGTGAGAGACTGAGAGAGAAAGAGAAGGAGAGAGGGGGGAGGGAGAGAGAGGGAGGTCATTTTGGGACTAACATATGATTCACCCGTCACTCACCCCCCCTACACACCCCCACTCACCCAAACACACATTGCGTTACAAACGAGCAATTATTTACTTTTACGGCAATTTCCAATAGCGGAATTCCATTTCATTTTCATTTTCATTTAAGATATGATTCTGCCCTAGATCAATTTCAATAAAAGGCAAATGTTGATTAATAAGAAATATGTATGATTATTGAAAATGTGACGAACTAAAATAAATTAAACAAACACATGTTACGTAAATGGCGTATATCTCAAATATTAGAATGAAAATGTGTCTCGGCCACAACAGTTAATATGTAGCATATTATAATTAACTAAATATACATTTTCACCAGGATTGTGTTATCCTCTTACTTAAGACCACAATTAAATACACTGATTGTGTTATCCTCTTACTTAAGACCACATATATATACATTAGGAATATATTAGGAATACATTATACATACCTGCTAGGTGATCTTACATTCCGTATTGGGTGATTTCATTTCAGAAAACTAACAAACTATAGTATACTCTTTCGTCAAGCGATTTTTTTAGTACGTCTTGTAGAAAACAGCTGTCGACAAAGGATCATATAATTAGTTCAACCAATGGAAAATGTTTTTGAAAACGTCAATATGTTTGCTGTTTGTTAGAAACAGTTGTTTTAATGGACGAATAAAATTAATTTACGATTCGGTCAAGCTTGAAAATATGTTAGAAATGCCTCATAAATATAATCTGTATAATGTGTTAAAAAACATCCAATGAATACGCCGTTATATGATTAGATATTAATGTTAGTAAATGTTCTTTTAAAAACTGGTATATATTTATTCGAGTAAATTCAGCCGTTCTATGAATTTTGAAAACATAATTCATTATTTGTCCAATGACTGTGCTAAGAAATATTAGATGCCCATTTTTTTTTTCGTTGAATTATTTTGGGGGGTTTGTTCAAAGTAGCGACTTGGCTGAATGGTTTGGGTTTGAGAGCAAAACGAGCCTCAAAGGTTTATCCTTTAAAATGGAAACTACTATATGAGCTATGCAACATCAGTACTGCCTGGTGATTTATGAACAAATAAAAGTTTACCAAAATTGGAGTACCGGAAAGTCCCAAATTGTGAGGGTAAAGTTCGGGATTTGAACCATATTCCTTTAAAAGGTACAACTTCAGACAAACAAAAAGTCGTCAATTATTAAGAGAAACACATGAAACTGACGCCATTCATTAGGTTGCCGGGGTCAAACTTTTATTTGGCATGGTTTTCATAGGTGTCCTGTGCTCTCTTGAACCATTTTGGGGGATTTCATTACCCGAAAAACATGCTGCCCAGAATCCAAAGTTATAAAGGGACATAACTCTGCATTGTTTTATCACAAAATAGAAATTTTAGTCTCAAAATTAATTTTTTTGAGGCCATTATTCCATTCTAAGATATGCCCCGTGCTTGTAAGTGGTTCCTTATACCATTTACGGGAATCCGCTACCCCAAAACATGTTGACCCAAATTTACGTATATTCATAACTCAGCACTTCTTCATCACTTACTGGCATATTTGGTATGTACATGTTCTGGGGTCCCTACCCCCATTAGCCTAATGTCCTAAGAGATGAGTGAAGCAAGACACGAATACATATGCCCAAGAAATTATTTACCAATTTGTTCTTCATAGAATGAAGGGTTATGTTGTCTCTATGATCTGTAAGACATATGAGGGTACTTTTTATTAACTGGGCAACTTTTGCTAAAATAAGCGCCAATCTCAGTTTGCTGGGCTATACAACATTATAGTTTGCATCACATTTACTGATATACATCGGATCTTAAGGTAACGCAGGTAGTGGATCTAGAAGCGGTGAATAGGGTGGGTGCGGATCCAAACCTAGGGTGCCATCGATAATCCCACCCCACAATCAGCATAGATCCCGCCCACAAAGAGCATAGCTCGTATTGCCTATATGGTTGTTTGTGGTTCGTTATCTTGACGGAAAGTAGTTTTATTCAAGTTGACATAAAGTTCATGTCATATTATGATTGGTAATAATTTTTTGTGAACCATAGGGGCAGTGGCTATAACACTGAGTAATCCGAAGGGGAGACAATTTGAGTCAATATCATAGCTTTTAAGATCATTGCTGTGGTCAAATTCTTGTGAACGAGAGGATTAGAAATGGCAGTCAATGGTGCAGAATCTTGAGATCTGCCTGTCAATTTCGCCTGTTTTGTGAGAGTTGACAAAACAGTAGCACAGTCTGTCGCCCAACGCTCTACCGGTACTACTAACAGGGCGGTTCATTATAACCGTGAATATGATAGTGCTGGGATAGTATAAGACCACAGAGGAGTGGAGTAATATCAGATAGCAACGTAAAATATATAACTGAGATTTTAATTATTTGGGACGGGGCTTGAAAATTTTAGTCAATTCCCTGAAATTTGAGTTATTGATGGGAGCAAATTCTGAGTTTTTAATTCTTTTGAACTGGGCTTGAGGAGACTTTGTCTCACGGGGGCGCTTACTTGGTCTCTCCCCCCCCCCCCATTTAAGATGTTTCGTTTACATTGGTTAGGTAAATGTCAGCCATCTTAGGATTTTACCAGATTTTACCGCTTTAAGGGACCAGTGAAGACCACAGCATACATCTTCAAATGCAAGAATGACCCCAAAAATATGAATTTACATGTTCATATTACACTTATAGGGTCCTAAACCAAACGTTTAGGATTTTCTTGTACATTGATTTGACAAATGTTGGCCATCTTGGATTTTATTTATTTTTACCACTTTAAGAGACCAGCTAACACTAGGCTACTTGCTATATCTTCAAATGAAAGAATGGTACCAAAAGCATTAATTTATATGTTCATTATACATTAATAGGGTCTTAAAAAAACACCCTTGTAGATTTTTTGTGTATATTGGTTAGGCAAATGTCAGCTATCTTGGATTTTACCAGATTTTACCGCTTTAAGGGACCAGTGAACAACACAGGATATATCTTTAAATGAAAGAATGACCCCAAAACATTAATTTACATGTTCATATTAAAATTATTGGATTTTCTTCTACATTGATTTGACGAGTGTCGGCCATCTTAGATTGTATTTATTTATACCGCTTTAAGGGACCAGTTAGCACTACTGGCTATATCTTCTAATGAAAAATGACCTCAAATGCATTAATTTATGTGTTCATAATACATTTATAGGGTCTTAAACCAATAGTTTAGGGTTTTCTTGAACATTGATTAGGCAAATGTCGGCCATCTTGAATTTTACCACTTTCCGGTGCGCAAAATTTGGTAAACTTTTGGAATTTTATAAATTACACCTAAATAAATGCAAAAATGCATAAAAACATTTTCTTGCAATTTTTTGGGGGTAAAATGATAAATTGACTGGACTATCGATTCAGTTGGCTCCTTTTTCGATTCCCCGGTTGAACGTGACAAGGGGTAGGGTCGCCTTTCCAACCTCGTGGGTTTTCTCCAGGTCCTCCAATTCCCCCCCCCCCCCACTGTTAAAGACCCCATACGCGCAAGCAAATTATTGCAATAAAATTGAACCATGTGTTAGTCCCGAAATAACCTAGTTTGTAACGAGTGGACGTTAAACTTCATCCGTGCACAGTATGTTCATTACAGCAACTCTTTAATGTTCTTCATATACCTGGTTTCGTACCAGCTCTAATGACTACATACTTGCATTTAATTTTCAAATCAGATGAGTCATAATGGGATTGTTTGATAATAAGATCCCATCAATATCACTTCGGTGGAAGCGGAAGTTAAATACAACTGTTTCACACAACAGAAATTCTGTATTAGAAGACCTGGTTGTATTTTCTGACAATTAATTATTTGTAGAATACAGCTCTTGAGGTGATTTATCATCAAAAAAATCCGATTTGCAAATCACCAACTACACTGTCTTACCCGATTACCAGGATATCATATTGGAATATCGGCTTTGCGTACGAACACAAGTCAATGAGAAACATCGAAGGTTTTTAAAACTTTTTATTATAATCCTTAAGTAAATTTTCCACGAAGGTGAAGTGATTTCAGACCTGAAAATATGACCAAAAGTAACATTTTAAAACTAAACGATAACATCTATAACAGATTCCTCTGTAAAAAAGTATTGTTTCAAAACTGCACATATTTCGTTGGCTTAATTACATTCATTCATAGTCTATGATAATAATTAATGCTAGCGGATGACCCGAAGATGCGAAGTCGGAAGCGATAGGTCAACGCCATATAGACCATGTTATTCCCAGGTCTGAGATACCTCTAAACATCTAATGTCAGCCTCGGGACAGCCCTAGTGAAGCCGCCAACTCTGAACAGACAGCGAAACGACATTCAGAACATTAGTATAGATTATATTGATAAACATAGAGGGTAACCTTAAGACATTTGTCTCCCTACTCCCAATCCCTCACCCTCTGGTGCCAACGATGCTGTACTTACAAGCTACAGCTGCCTGGAAAGCTGCGTTATAATCAGTGGCTACTTCATTATGAACATAATCATCTCTCTTATCACTATAACCATCATGCTCATCAGGACCACCAACCAAAGCACCATACAGGATGTGTGGATTTGGACCAGGTTGAGTTTGGTCAAACCATGCACACGGCGCAGGACGTTGTGGACATGAGCTGAACACATACAAAAAATAAACACCGTTTGCTTAATCCAAGTAATATTCCCATTGTAAGCTATTGTCAGTTGTGGTTGTGCATACTCTCGGATCACGTTTTTTAATAACTGTATCCGGGGGTATCGCAATATAACCACAGTACAAAGACAGATATTGCAGTATATGGTTCATATCACCACGTTATATACTAATCGACGCTACGCTTAGCTATTACAACACACACACACACCCAGACCCCATTTCTAAATAAGAATATCCGAAGACTTTGGTTTAAAACCACAGTGCAGGGAATGGTTCATATCGCCAAATTATATGTTCATTGTATATACCGATCTTGATATAACTGTATCCGAAGGCATTGCACTTAAACCATAAAAAACACACATATATTCAAGGCAATTTTACATTATTTACTTTGAAAATCGAATTCCTGATTTCGAGACCGTGGGCCATGATGAGCATTGAATTCCCCACACCTCGATAAAGCTATTTAAATTATGGATTTGTTAGCGAATGAATCCATCAGTTTTATAGTCCACTTACCTTCCCCTGTGATGAGGTCGTCTTGGGTAGTTTGTACCGTACCCAATCAGGAAACTTCTGCCAGTATCACCCAAAGCATAATAAATCTGTCCTTGTGCCCATTTCCTGTATGCAGTTTCATGAAGACCTTCTTCAGCCGCCATTAGAGCAATGAAAGCCATATTACCTTAAATAATACAAAATTATATACAAGAATTTATCCGACTAGAACTATACACCCATTTGACGAATTTGCCAAGCGTGGACAGTAGTAACCAATGAAAAGATGTAAAATAAATTAAATAAACAAACACAGTCGGTCCCACCATGTTGCCAAATACCAAGTCCAACGCACAAATTCGGGAAAACAATGTTTCCCTACAAAATTCAACGAATATGTTGTCAAGTAGGAATTCCAACATCTGTAGCATCTTCACCAGAAGTCTACTCCCTTTGTTGCTACTACGGAAAGTAACCCATATACAACTATTTTAGATATTTCCTTTCTGTGTCATTCAAGAAGGACCCGATTGATCCATCACTTGACATTTACATTAAACAAGCGGTTGACATTCAAGATACACTCACATTTTGCAAGGGATGGACAGAGAACAATGTGAGCGGATATCGCAAGGAACCGAGATCTTTGGGATATAAACATAAGTTTTAAGCTTCATCAAACTCGGATACAAACTGTGACATGTAGAGGGTTCACAACCTTGGTATTGCATACTTTTACACTATTTGCGTACAAGGAGCAGCCATTTTGTCGGCCATAATTGTCTGATTTTCACAGATTTTGAACTCAACCAGTGAAATATTTAAACAGACTTTAAAATCGGACGAAATTTGCGACTTCTGGAGGGCCCACAAGCTAACAACGCGACATTTCGTACAATCAGGGGCGATAATCCATCAAGTTACTGTCAGATACGCTCGAATATCGAAAGGAACATGAAAATGTGGGCGTATAAAAATGGTTACAGGAATAAAGTTCCCTCATGCCCTATATTCCTGAAGTGAATAATCGTGAATTATATTTCTACTTAAATCAGATAAGCATTTACTACTGGCGGAAGTTAGCTTCATAGATAAACTTTATAGATAAAGGAGGATAACCAATCCGCTCTTAAAGGAGCTAAATCGCTAACATTTGGGACCTGGAAATTGACAAAAGTGGGTCGCAACGCATATAATACTGTAATATGAATATATATAAACTGATTTACATTCAATGGTTTCCGTTTTTACTCCAATTTCAAATCAGTTATGTTCGGCGAAATAAGCCAGCAGTCTCAAGCGAGTGCAAATTTCTAGCGTCTGATTATTCCAGTCTACATACGCCGTTTGATTTGGTGCAATGTGTCTAGCCTCGTCCCTTGAGTCAGTTGATTCAACTGGGGCTGAAGCGCATTATGGTACACGATTCGTGTACCAATGGTAAAATGTTAATTTTGTCTTAAATATTGGATATCAAAAGTCCATCTTTTTCCGGTAAGATCACAACATGAATGTTGATTTAATTTGACAAATAAATCGTGTTTTCAATGTTGAAGATTTTGGATGATATTGAGTTAGAGACTGAGCTACTTTAAATTTGAACATCTCGGTTTTCTTCTATGCCCAGAGAATGGAATATGTTGGCTGTGGCGCCCTTTTCGTGCGCTATGTCCCTAATTCATGTATGTTTACCTCCTAAAGCCTTTCGACCACAAAATAATGACTATTCACAAAAACCTGACAGAAACTGTAAATTCAAACAATCTTCATCAATTACTAGTCTCAATCCAGTAACAATATTTAAAGAAAATTAATTACTTGCGTATCTCAATGCACCCCATTTCAATCTGTAAGCTAGACCTTTAGGTGTATAGGGAATTCCTCCACCTGGCATCCAGTCTGTGTAAGTAGCCTCTATATCTTGTTTATATTTATCTTTCTTGGTTAATTTATACAGAAGTACCTAATGAAAATAATATGTTAAAGGGGCATTATGGACGATTAGATAAAGAGCTCACCGTTTTCGCTATAATAGTTAAAAAATAGATAATGAAAATAGAATGTCCTGAAAATGTCTGTCAATGAAACGATAGGATTATGAATCAGATGATGACAGCTGATAGTTGATGCTTGAATACATCCTGATTACATGTACCGCGCTGCACTTTATACTAAGCGCAAGTAATCGAATATCTAAATCTATATGTATTGTGAAGAAGCTTCGGCCAATTAATATGACAGGCTAATCGGCGTATGCCCGTCTTCATTAGCCCAGTCGGAGCAGAACAGTAGGACGTTAAACCACATTTCATTTCATTTCATTTTTTGCTCACCGTTTCAGCAGCCTGTTTATCGTCCCATGACATTCCCCAGGCTTTACCAGGTTGGTGATATTTCTCAGCTGATGTTAGATATTTGTCTTCTTTTGTAGCATAATATAACCATGCTCCACCCCAAGCAAGTTCATCTTCAAACCCCATAGACCTGTTTTATATGTTTATAAAAAATATAGTAAACTTGATTAAATAATACGCAAGGGTCTAGTTTAACATATACGCGTGCAGTCGTTATATGCTCTACTCGATAACCTAAAGAGGCAACAGGAAAACGTGTCGTAGCGATGACTTTGCAGATTTGTATTCGATTTGATTTGAATATGTCCATTTTAATTTCAGAGCCAGATGACATAAAATCGAGCCCCCCTCCCACCCAAAAAAAACCAATGGCTGTTTTGTCCTAACTTTAACTGGTTCACAGCCTATTGTCTGGTCATAACATGTCTTTGGAGCTTGTGGAAGAAGTTCCGGATTTTACACCAATACCAAACTTATATTGGAATGCATAATTATACCAACTGACGAATGTCCTTAATGATGCATGATTTCCGAATGTCACAGTGTATGCGAGTAATTATTAAGGGTTGTATAATCATCTGACTGCCAGAAAAAATAATATTTCGTGTATAATTTATTCTGAATGATATATATATGAACACACCTGTAGTAAGCGGCAGCTTCGTTGACACAGTCCGTATAGATTCCTTGATGAGCCAAAGCGAAAGCATATAATTCTCTACTGTGTTTTAATAACTTGTTGGCATACGCTGGATCTGCAAAAGAAACCTATACAATTGTCAGGCAGCGAAAATACGCCCACTAGCAGCCCTGTAAAGTGGATGCGTGGGACGGTGGAGCGACAGCAAAGACGTCACATGATGTTGCTTAATCTAAGGTTCAATTACTATAATAATATCTCAACTCCGATAAGAGCAAAATGTTCGCCTTATAAAGTTAAATGTTATTGAAAGTTGGAGGGGGGGGGGGGGGTTAGACCGTTTACAATATTTCGGCTTCAGAGAAAATAGCCCCTCCATGTAAACAGCAGCTCAACTCTGAATCTGAATTTCAATGGTCGTCCAATGGTGTTTACACGGCCTGTATATGTCATAGGCACTCCCATGTTTAAAGCGTCCACTATAGCTTTCTTTTGAACAGTGTGTGAAATGAAATGAAATGAAATGGGGTATAACGTCCTACTGTTCTGCTCCGAACTGGGCTAATAAAAACGGACATACGCCACACAGTGTGCTATGAGGGAAATTTTGCCCGGAAAGCGGCACTACGGCCTACTCTTATATCGAATTCCAACTGTCAAGGGATCTTTTACGTGCACGCCAATGTGTACACGGGACCTCGTGACAAATATAAACAGGCTAGGCGAGGCGTAGTGAAATTTTGTCGTCAATCTAAGAAGGGACTCGATTTCTTGCATTCGCTTTCACACGTAATTAAAGCACAGACAGAAGACGAAGGGGAAATTACCGGCTTCCATAGCATTACGTACCTTTCGTTTTAAACACCATATATCCTGCAGCAAATGCAGCAGCGGTCTCAGCGGCCACATCACTTCCTGGACACGACGCGTCCAGCTTGTATGATGGTCGATCCATTTTCATGTCCTCTGGTCTACCCCAATAGCTGTGGTCTTTTCCACCGTCTCCTACCTTTAAACCATATGTGTAGAAGTATTTCAAATGTTATCAGTTATTAATTTCAATAAAACTAATTAAGTCCCACATATATACCAGCGACCACTTACAAGCAACAAGCAATCACTAAGCATCTGAATAAACCGGTTTTGAAAACAGACCTTAGGCATCGGCAACTTCCGGTGATATTTTGGGGTATTGTTTGGGTTATATTTTCAGCCTGCAATGAAATTTTGCGGAATATGGTTGTGTGTGAATTACCCCGTGGCAAATTATGCAAAATATATCGAATAGTCGACTTTATCATGTTATTCGAATTGTTTAGGCGGTCATTTATAACCTGCTAAACGTTTTGAAAAGGAACTTTTAGACAAGGTAAATTAAATCGTCGTTTGAAAGCTGAGAATTTATCTTTAATCTAAATAACCATCATATTGAACAGAGAAATTTAAAAAAGTACTCCAAAAATGTGTTTCGTGAACTACTCAAATGGAAAGTTTGGCAGATACCTGTAGTACTTATAGTAAGCATCGTCACTAATTTTGAGAAAAATGAAGTGTTTCTACATGGGTGTCAGAAGCCGGACCGTCAATATATACTGGGTAATGGCCTCAGTTTGGAATAAGAAGCTCGTATTTGATGAATACAGATATAAGTGCAGCGTGGCTAAATTACCTGAATGTATAACTCATTGGCTTTTGTATGTGCTTTAAGAAAATAATCAAGAGGCCACTTAATACAATCATACATGTATTGCAGTTGGCCAGATGATGTGTAAGCATCTTTAAATTCTAACAAACTCCAAGTTAATATAGTAGTTGAATAGGCCATAGGCAGGCCAAATTTAACATGATCACCAGCTGAAAACAAAATTAAGACCGATTATTAATAAATGACTTACATATTGCTAAGTATTTAATCTCGAATTAGATAGATGACACTCGATCATTACTTATTTTTGCAAATATGATTTTGTAAACCATTAGATAACTTAGTCAAGTATTGCCGTAATGAAAACATACACCAAGTTGGATCACCCTCACTCTATTAGTAAGGGCCACATGGCTCTGTCGATATTGGACTGTTTCACTAACCAAGAAGTTCCGGCATTGCCAGAGAGTTCCTCGGGGTTTTCCATGCACGTTTACCATTGTCAGTAGTGTCGGACGGGGGTGGTTTGACTCCATTAGCCCGGATCGTGAAGAAAGGTAGGATTTTAAACACAATTTCATTTTATTTTAATTTCTCGCCCAACTAGAATGGAAGTTATTGATAAGCATCCACAAATCAAATTGAATATCTTTGCTTGGGCTAAGCAGAACAGTCAAGCATTAATAAATATCTACTCCAAGGTTGACCACTTTACCTCATTTCGAGCCGTTTTTATTGTATTCCAGTTCTCGATCAATCAAATCGCTTTTTTCTATTTCGGTTATGCACATAGTTCATCAATATACACCCCCATTTCAACATTCTACACTATTTAGCAGACTGAAAATTGTGACAAGCGATAATTACAAATTCCTAGAAAAAGTAGGGAAAAGAATGTTTCAAAACAATAAATATTTACATACCATCGTACCATCCTCCAGTTAAGTCTTCGCCATTTTGTCCTTTATCGCCCAGAGCTGAATCACCTCTCCAGGGTATTCTGTTATTAGCTGGAAGTTTACCAGATCTTTGGGTTTCGTAGAACAGGATGGACAGTTCCAAGACTTGGTCGTAATTATACTTTGTATGATCCTCTGTGAATATAAATTAGACCCTAAAATGTTTGCCAATTCATAATGAGATATTCTGGTAAGAAATGGTCTAAATAAAAAGGAATGTACCATGTAATTAATAATAATAAATTCGTAAGCTCTATGTTTGCATTTTAGTGTTTGTTTCGATTTTATATGGTTATATACACAAACAATAAATATGGAAACTTAAATGATAAATACAGCTATATTTTAATGATTTAGGGGATCACGGTGGGTAAGACGCTGACTCGCTAACCTGGAGGTCGGGTGTTCGATCCTTGCATTGGCAAAGAATGTTCATCAAGATTTTCCGGTGTGGTTCCCCCTTGTCAGTGATGCAGGACGGAGGGCCTGACAAGGACAGCTGTCTAGTCGTTCGGATGGGACAAAAAAATTGAGGTCCTGTGTACACATTGCACGTAAAAGATCCCTTGACAGTTGGAATTTGATATAAGAGTAGGCCGTAGTGCGCTGTCCGGGCAAAATTTCCCTCATAGCACTCTGTTTGGCGAATACCCGTCTTCATTAGCCCAGCTCGGAGCAGAACAGTAGGACATTAAACATCATTTCATTTCATTTTTTAATGATAAAGTTAAGGTTGTGAATTAAAATAGTGACTTTACTGTTTGGAAGCTCTGTTGGTTTGAAATCGTCTTTTCCCAGGTTAATAAATTCTGCTGTAGCAGTTGGTGGTTTACTTCCGGAGTAAGAACCACTTACAGTGACCTGCAACTTGTTTCCGATTTCTTGTATTCCAACATGGGGTTTATCAACAATAGTATACACACGATTATCTGTTGAAGTCTTCACAACATCTCCCATCCATTCCTTTATAATGAAAAACAACGTCCAAATTACTCAACTATGTAAATGTTCTATATGTGGCTATGTATGTCATGGTAGCAGCTGCTCTGCAACTGCCCATAGGTCAGTTAAGCATATATAGACACACGTTCCTTGCCAGTCTAGACGTATTCCAGAAGTATTTGACTACTGGGTATATCGACATTCAAACTCGTTTAGTTGGAAACGGATTAATTTAAGATGCACAGCTTGTTTCTGAATCTAATTAATTTATCATGCATTGAATACTGTCTTTAATTATGTTAATAAATAATGTTTTAATCAGTTAGCCCCAAACTATACGACTGTTCTTTTTTAGGGCAGACTACGTTAATCCCTTTTAAAATACAGATGTTACATCCTCCTTTGATTATTTCAAATAATGGTACGGGCAATGTACCAAACGTACAATATTTATACTAGTTGAAATTATGGACCCATGTGACATGTTCCATTGCAAAGCACGTGTCTGTATTTTAAGTTGTTGAATGGTCTTAAGCTTAAGACATTGCGTCATATATTGAAGCCACACGTCCATGTGTTGTTTCAATATATTGCTTAATGTCTCGCTATCGACCATTAAACCACACATATTTGTACCGGACTTTGCCCACAAGCTTCCAGAACTCATAATTATGTTATTGCCCTGCTACATTGTTACTAATGTGTTTAACCTACCGAGAATCCGGTGACAGGAACGCTAAATGTTATAATCATTTCCCAGCCATCTACATGTTCAGTAAAAGGGATGTTAAATTCACCCTGAAACTTTCCTGTCCAATCTTGGACACCGGTCATGTGAAAGATTTTGTGATGTTGGGCATGGCTGCCCAATATCACCAACCAACTAATAGCAAGCAACAACATCTACAAAAAAAAAAAAAAAAAAACACAACATGATCGGGTTTCCATTGTGATCAAATTAACAATACTGGTATATTTGGGAAAATGTTTATAAGAAATGTTATATAGCTCGCAGGACGTTGGCGACGACAATGTACACCCACATTAAATGCGGGGATATAAAAAAAATATGATATTAAAGGAGAATTATGGAGGATTCAGATAAAGAACTGACAGTTCTCGCTATAATAGTTAAAAATCAGATAATGACAAGGGAATAATATGTTGAAAATGCCAGCTGGGTTATCGCCTCTAGAAGAACTGTGTATTCTCGATTGTCATTGCTACCGATTTAAAATTAAATCATTAACTGTCGATCGTATTTAAATCTGTTGAAAATCTCAAGTATCTGATGGCATCGAGAGAGATGATTACGGTCTTGCGTTAATAAATGTCTTATTGATAATTTATATAACATTTAAGGCATAAATAAAAGCCTGCAATAGGCAGATTTAGCTCTTGGATAATGCCTCTAATAGAAACATCGGTTGGTACATGTGAGTTTATGGAAATTAATCGGCAAACACAAAAGCATGGCCTATTGACCTTGAGATTTTAGCGGTCGCCAAAATTGATTAACAAGGATCAAGCAGCTAAACAAATATCCATTGACCGTAAAGAAAAAGAAACAAAAAATATTAAAACAAAATACTTGTGCTAAACAAAATTGGGAAAATTGCCATTAATGCCTAACATACAATATGGATTTAGCATCCTTACCTTAGCTGATTTCTTGCCTTATGTAAAGATATAGACCAATTCCTTGGTTTTTATCGTGTGTGAAATTTACATCTGGACAAAGTGGGCGTCGTTAACACACTTATCTTTAAAATTTAAACAACCCACTTAAGTCTTTTCTTGTTCTGATTAAAGTCATATAAATGGTCAATTTGGTTGCTTTGTACTAAATCAAGTCAGATAAAAAGCGAAACAACATATGTTTTCTAATTTAAAATATATTGATTTTGTAAGCTTCCTTGTCACACTATTTTTGTAGAGGAGGGAGTCGAGGGCCGAATGGAGAGCGAGTGCGCGTTGAATCATAATGTCTGAATGTCTGTCATTGAGTCAACTGGCGTGGTTTCGATTCCCCGGTTGTACGTGACAAGGAGTAGGGCCGCCTTATAAACCTTATGGGTTTTCTCCGGGTCCTCCGGTTTCCTCCCACTGCTAAAGACCCCTACGCGCAAGCGAATTATTGAAATAAAAATTAAACCATATGTTAGTCCCAAAATGGCCTAGTTTGTGTCAAGTAGACATTAACCCCCACCCCACTCTCTCTCTTCCTTTCTCTACCGTAATTGCTCGGCATAATGAGACATATTAGTGCATTCCATCTGTTTAAGCCGATGATAGAAAATATACTAAAGTCTATCAATATATTCATATTCTTGTAAACAATATTGCAGAGTTTTATTACAAATAACATGTATTCGAATAACCGAAGTATATAATCAAAAGGAGTTGTTTTAGACTAAGGCGTGGTAAAACTTAATCAACACGAGATAAGTACATGTATTATCTGCTCAAGGTTACAAGAATTCGGCAGTAAAGAGTGCAAGTTTGCATTATGATATCTTCTCCTCCAAGCCTTATAATTAAACATACATGTATAAATGTAAAGATAATTCTGCGAAACGTTTTCAAACTTAGGGGGGTTGGATGGCTGAATGATTAACGTGCGCGCGCTGTATCATAAAGTCTGTCATTGAGTCGACTGACGTGGTTTCGAATCCCCGGTTGTACGTGACAAGGAGGAGGTAGCCTGTCCAACCTCGTGGGTTTTCTCCGGGTCCTCCGGTTTCCTCCCACTGCTAAATACCCCTACGCGCAAGCGAATTATTGAAATAAAAATTAAACCATATGTTAGTCCCGAAATGACCTAGTTTGTGTCGAGTGGACGTTAAACCCCATTTCTCTCTCTCTCTCGTTTTCAAACTTGACGATCATAAATTGGAAATATGATAGGATTCTCCTCTCTAAGATTTAAAATGAAATCCACCGCGAACATTGAACAATGTCACTATATGTCCATAGGCGTACGGGCTCGATGACAGTTAGGGGGCAGAACCCGAAATGCCCGAAAAAAAAAATTGGGTTTACAGACAGCGACGCCGGTCTTCCTTGAGAGGTGAAGAAGCGGAGCTTACCTTGTATGCCCCCCACCCCCTTAAGACAATTTTGGAATATTTGACGACTGCAAACACGTTTTCCTCTATTTAAGCCGGCGAACAAAGCAACTTCAAAGTGGTCTAATATAGCTTAATTAAGATGGCTGACTCGAATTCCAATCCACGGAGACGGGACCGTTGGGAGAAAATTTTGAAAATTTAACTGCCGCAAACGCGTTTTCCTGCTATTCCAGCCCGTGAATACAGCAAGTTCACTTTGGTCCAATATAGCCTACCTGGCTGACCTAAATTCCAAACAACCAATCAATCGTCGCGGGATATGGGGGCCTCACCCTCCCGGAGAAAATTTTGAAAATTTAACCACCACAAATATGTTTTCTGCTATTTTAGCCTGTGTGAGCAACTCCAAAAGTATCCAATGGTTTTGTAACCGAAATCCCAACTGAATTTTGTAACTGAATTCCAACCATCCAATCAGACTGTTGCAGCTGCATTCACAAATAATAATCGATACCCGAAAAATGTCGCACAAAGTAGAGTGGCTCCAGACAAAACGTTTTAATCCATAGTCAACTCAGTACAAATTCGTGGTATTCAATTAAAAGAAAAGTAAAATCAGTGTTTTATTACGGCTCGATGACAGTTAGGGAAGCAAAACTAGAACTGCCCGAAAAAAAATTCAGATTTACAAACAGCGGCACCGGTTTTCTTCGAGAGGTGAAGAAGCGGAGCTGACCTTGTATGGACCCCCCAAGAAAATTTTGGAATATTTGTCGGCCGCAAACGCGTTTTACTGCTATTCAAGCCCGTAAAATTAGTGTTTTATAGATGAAATAATTTTTTTTTCCACTTTACCCGTCTGCCCGAAAAGTCAGCTTGCCCGAAAGTTAGGGGGGCAGCTGCCCTCCCCCCTGCCCACCTGGCTCGTACGCCTATTTATATGTCATAAAAGTGAACATGCAAGGGGTAACCACTTCAAAATATAAATCCAAACTGAACACATTCCCCAAAAATTGTGGTATTTTATACACTTCCTTACTTTAATGGTGTTGATATTATTTATAACAATGTAAAGTTGCATAAGAAAAGCAAGGATTTATCGGGACATTTGATGTCCTGTCGTCGGGTGGACTATAACTATAATCACCAATAAATTATAGACGTATTATTAAAAGTTACCGGTACGAGGCTTTGTATCTTAAAAGCTTCATTTAAATTGACCGAAAAGCTTTGTACCCTACATTCAAAGTTGATAAATCGGATGCGCTTTAGACCATGAGGACTGTATTCGGGTATTCTTAAACACAGCAGTGCACACGTGAAGATTTGAAATAAATGACATTCTTGACAATTCCGGTAATGTGACAAGTATAGGGTCGTCCGAAAGGTCTGATAATCTTTAGTCAAGGCTGTAGACTATTGACGTTCCAAGGATATCATGATTTCTTCACCTGAAGGGTCGTGGTAATTCCACATCCATCGATCTGAATTTAGAATACCCAAATGCATACCGGTATTCATAATCAGAAAATAATATACCGGAAGTCGAAACAATGTCTCTCGTGTCCAATAACATTATGTTTGATAAAAATCACTGGTCTTTTGATATACACTCGTGACATGAACACCACGAAAAACATTAGTTTAGCATGTTATCAATTTATTAAACAAACTGGCTTCAATTAATAGAGGAAATTGTATATCTGCGCCGTGACTTGATATTAATCGCTTGGTGTTTCTTGATTTATGTCTGCTTTGAGATATATAGAACCCCACCCTATCTTCTCCTTGTGGTCTAGTGATCCGTCGCTTAGCAAAGCCTGCAGGGTATTCATGAAGGTATGTGCATACGCTAGGATCAATGATCCAACATCTTTAGATAGATTACTGTGTGAATATTGTGGCTTATTCCTTACATGCAACCTGAGTCATGCTATTGTCGACTGTGTCCTATTTAAGCAAAAACGACTGGATGTAATGAAATTGTATTCACACGAAGAGGTATCCGACAATAATTTCCTCGTTAAAATGCTCTCTCTCCGTAACGTCGACGATCACGTGCGGAAACAAACAGTATTGTTTATATTCCTAGTCTGTAAGGGATTAGTATGAGACCACTCTATATAAATGTGATTCGTTAGACAGTGTAAATCTAGAAGCTTAACCCTTCAACATTTTTTTTTTTATTATTATTATTATTATATTTTGTGATTACTATTATTATTGTATACAATGTTTTGTAATACTCTTCATATTTGGAGGATCAATAAAGATATATATATATATACTTGTTTGTTCGTAATCTTTTATTCATATTAGCATGATTCTTGGACGATTAGATTAGCGAAACCAAGAATATATATTTGCAATTTTTCTCATTGCACTAATGACAAATGTCACCGGACAGACCGAAAACTTAGGGACCCAGAGAGGGCGAAATCAGTCACGAATCCCGAATTTCCATTCGTTTACAAACATTGGAATAATTTTAAAAAACACGCACACGCTATTGGTAGAGATACTAAAGATCTTTAAATGTTAATGTGGCTGAACATTGCCGTTACCACTGTTCATCCAACTCCTTGAGATCCCATTTACTGAATTTATTCATCTACTGATTATTAACCCTCTCAACGGAACTTTGCAATAGCTTTACGGATCAAGAGTCTGTAATTTACGAATCAATTATTCTCAGAGTCATTATCTCTGTTATTGCAACTACGTAAACAATCACTATTGAGCTTTAAAGGTTAGCGTGTTTAAGATTTTTTTTTTTTTTCAAATTTCCTAGAAGCGTTGAACTAATCGCAAGGATGATATCGTATTCGTGCATATACTTCCCGAGAGTTTATGATTGGCGGATATTACTGCATGTCAATGGGAAATTGGTAAACTGAGCTTAATTATCAGTTTTCGTTTGATGATAAAAATGAAAGGAAATAAGCTTTGATAACAGGGCTAATGAGAATAGGCATTGGCCATGTGGGGACAATTTTGCTGGGACTTCAACGTGTATATTAGTCATCGCTGTTCTGCATAACTGACATTCTTGGTCAAATTCCCGAGTTGAAACCGGTGCCCCCTGGTTAGTGCGCCAGTATCCAACCCGACGAGCCATCGTGGCTCCTGATCTTAATAAATTTATAGAACGCCGATATTACATTTTGTATAACACATACTGTCCAAAAATATAGTCGCCAGTGTGGACGCGTACTACTTGAAGTCACCCTATCGCATTGACAATTGTTTTAGTAATGTCTTATCTGTTATCATCAAAGTAAATAGCTGAATATTTCCCACTAAAAGCTTCAACTCTTCCAGTATCAATTATGTATACATCACAACAGAATTAATCTATGATAATATACAGCATTAAGATTCTGTATTATAAATACTGGTGATAGCCGATAGCGATCAATCATTTCGATGGGTTTCAGGTATACTGCTGGATTAATACAGACATCACAATAAATTAATTATACGTTTCATTTGTTTTTCTCGATATCAAAAAGAATTGACAATATTTATTTTCATTTACTTACTGTATAACAACAAGCAATGGATTGTATAGCAGCACACCACGCTCTATACCGATGATTATTATCGTTGGTATTTTTTTGCAGGGGGTGGGGGGTTATGAAGGTTTTATTCGAATCATTTTTTTTTTGTTATATGGACAAACAGGGTTCAACGACATGTTTTCAATATATGTAAAAGCTATGTTAATCTCTAACTGATTACTATTAATACAAGTATAGTTTAGTGACGACATTATCACGCCATTGTTGAAACAGACAAAAGCACGAATAAACACTTCCTGACCATATCTGATGAACACAATCAAAGGAAAGATCCTTATTGTTGAATATAAATATTATTTGAATAAATGAATTAATTGATATATGTTTGTGATATAAAGGTCTTTTGTTATCACTGGTTGGATGTATCGAATTGTGTCTCTTTAACAATAGAAATGAACTTTTGAACGTCCGTGGATTTTTGGATCCCTTCTTTAATTTCCAAGCTGACGTCAGTAATACTATAGGTTTAATCTTCCGAAACTTTACGTGCTATCTAGTTTCTATATAGATGTATATGGTTAAACGAAATGAAATGGGGTTTAGCGTCCTGCTGTTTTGCTCCGAACTGGGCTAATGAAGGCGGAATATATGATTAAAGTTCTTATACATTTCTAATTATCAAGATCAGTAACTAATTCATACAAATTGTGCTATATATAGTCCAGGTGAAAATTTCTCGGTAAACACCAGGATCGAACCCGGAACCTCATGGTTAGTAAGCCAGTACCTTAATCATTGAGCACCCTAACGTGGTACAAATTACATGATTTGATTTTCAAGCGTATATCTTAAAGCCCTATACACCTTTATTACTATAAGGACAAACGAATACAACCTATCGGGCAAATAAGGATCCTTTATGAGTTCAAAGTAACAGAAAGTCCTAGAATGTTGAGAATCAACAGAGTTCACCCACTCATATACTAAGGTTTTACATCAAATTTGATAAGGATCCTTTATAAGTTCAAGAAATCTAATCTCTATCGTGTCCACAAGCTTTTCCGGGCCCGTAAAATATCTCTGAAGTAGAAAGTTCTGCAGAACTCCTCCCAAAACAGTCCAAATGCCTCTCACCATATTTAAAAAAGAAACTCTGTTTATGACTTTAGCGTCCATCGTGGAACATAGTAGGTAGCTCCAGAACGGAAAGTCGAGGAACGCTAAATGTCGATAAGGTTCCTCCCATCAAAATGGAAAAAACTGTAGCCTCTATCGCGGTAACAAGGTTTTCGGTAAGGGGGTGGAGGGTGGGGTATCTCCGGAACGAAAGATGGAGAGATAAAAATGGGGTTTAACGTATGGTTAAGTGTTATTTCAATAATTCGCTTGTGCGTTAGGGTCTTTAGCTGCCGGGGGAAAACCACGCCATAAAGCCATTCATCAACTCAACAACACTGAACCTCGACCCCAATGCTTCATACATATATTAAAAGCTGTAACCTCTATCGCGTTAACAAGGTTTTCGGTGGGTAATTTGGGAAGATAATGCCCCCGTCAGACCGGGGTCGCGTCCTTACTGCGTTGCTGCGACCGTACGGCGAACGGAAAATGCACAAGGTCGCCGGAAAACGTGATCACAACACATTCTCATAGCTTTCCAGTTCAGATCGCGGAACCTTGGCGTTTGTTTTGAACATGGTCAAAACAAACGCCGTGACTCGGCGATCATTGGCAACCATGAAGATCACAGCACGATAGCTGGCGTTTCTACCACGTTTATGGCGATCTTGACGCGCAGCGCAGTAAGGACGCCACCCCGGTCTGACGGGGGTATAAGGTGGCGGAGCGCTGAATATCAATGAGTCACTCCAAATTTCACAATCAATATGCGTAATCCTCACACAGTCATGATACATCACAGCGGGGCATAAAAAGACAATCCGATATCTGCAAGCCTGATAATTTATTTGTCATTTCTATTATAGTTAAGTTTCGGATCGGCAGTTATTAGTACCGGTATCTTTTGTTTTCACTATGGTAATCGTTTTTTGGATCACAACAAGTTTGATTAAATTCGTTAAAAACTGTAGCATCTATCACGTTAACAAGGTTTTCGGGAAAATGCGAGGGGGTAACTCTGGAGCGTAAGATCGTGGAAGACTGAATATCGATCGCGTTCATAATCTTGTGACCCCAATGTCTCACACCAATTTTGAAAAAGATATTTTTAAGGATATCGGAAGGGAATGTCGGGGAGCGTTGAATATTTATAGCGTACGTCGTGGCATAACTCCAATGCTTCAAACCAAATTTAAAAAAATGTTAACGATGTTTTCGGAACAGGCGGGTAATTCGGGAAGGGAAGGTCGCGGGGCGCTGAATATTGATATGGTTAATTCTCCACTGATCCCAATCCTTCACACAATTTGAAGAAAATATGTTAAATTAACCTGTAGCGTTTAGAAGGTTTTCGGTAAATGGAATGTAACTCCGAAATAAAACGACTGATAGAGTTCGTCAACCCATGAACACAATGCTTCACACTGAATTGGAAAGAAATCCGTGAAATTTTGTAGCGTTTATCGCGTTAACAAAGTTTTCGGAAAGGTAGAGGGAGGGGGTAACTCCAGTAGGTAAGGCGCCACTGAATATGGATAGGGTGTTTAGCGCTTACAAAAAATGATAAAAACTGTAGCGTCTATCGCGTTACAAGTCAATTGTTGAAGGGCCGACGGAAAAAGGTGACGGCAAATTACTGTAATATGGGCGCATAAAAATAATCCGATATCTGTTATTCTTTTAATTTATTTGTCAGTTCCGGACCAGTATCTTTAATTTCACCATAATGGTAATCGTTATTTGGATTACGTTCAATATTGTACACATAATGTCTTAGATGTGACTATTCAACGGTCTATTTACGAGGGAACAGTAGGACGTTAATCCCCATTTCATTTCATTACATTTCTAGTTTCGAGGTTTTCATTTGTCTCCTAGATATCAAATTAACCTGATTATCATGCGTGACAGCATAGTCGTGTTGTTTTGAAATATGTTGAGAAATATTGAATTTATTGACCACTTCAACTCTTACATAAAAGTAATGAAAATTGAAAACAGTTTTACATAATGGTTGCACTCTTTGTTTCGACAGGAATGTCCTAGGTTCGATTCTAGTTTTACGAACAGTTGAGGTCCGCACCTGTACACGTCACTGGGCACATAAAAGAAACATTGACAGTTGAAATTCGATGAATATTAGGCGGAAACACAGCTGTCCTGGCAAAATTCTCCTAGTGAATTCTATATTTAAGGGGGGGGGGTCAAAATCAAAGAGTTTAATCATTTGAAAGCCTATCATGTTTTCACTCGGATTCCAACCGCGTAAATCTATATGCACTATTATCTTACTATTTTGTGCATCGGATATTAGCATTTAATTGCGCTATTGTATCGATTATTGACTATTTTTTATTCGAATATTTTCTTTTTATTTGTGTTAGATTGATTTTTGGGATAATATTTATCATCAGTGATAATATCAAGTAATTTTATATAGATTTATGTATGCTTCCCACTGCTTCTAAACAATCAATCAATGCGCGTGTCGATATTCAGGTAAAGATGTATAAGTGTTACGTATAATCGTACGCGATATCATGATGTGTGGAACGGCTCGTTACATCTCACTTAGTCATATTGTACTAGAATGCTTGCTATATGATTATGTGTAAAAGCGGTTCGTATGTATAGATTGACATATACAAAACTGATCAAACACTGATTGTTTTTGCAGATATAACCGTATCGTATTCATCCGAACGAGAGTGGTGTCGCTTCAGAATGTCAAGATTGAAGAGAAAACTTTATTCGGTTAGATAACCTATTTGCTGGTTTTAGAATATTAAAGCTAATGTCGTTAAATATGGCAGTAATAATTGTTGGGTCGTAGAGAAAGTGGACTTTTAACATTCTACAACATTCCTGATAACAGTTTTATACAATTAAAATTACTAGATAAATATCTAAGTCAGTAAATTGTTAATTAACTTAAATTAGTGACATATATAAAAGATGAATGGAAAATTATTAATTGGATCAACTTTGTGTAGGTTAATACTAAATGATGTTTAATTGGTTGATCATTATCGAATCTTGTTTTTGAAGGATAGTTCTCCGCTTGTAATTTTCAACATTAAATTGTGGACATGTTGAGCTATAAACATTTAATGTGAGTAACAAGAAGACGCTTCCCAAGAAAATAATTCTAAGTATGCGAAGTTTATACATGTATTGAACCCGTGTTTATCAGGTACAAAGTTTCGACACTTTCATCCAGGTATTCAACAAATTCCTGCTGAAATTGTACAAGATGTTGATTTAGTGTTTGCTTGTGATACTTTTTTTTTTTTTAAAAAATGAGACGTGGACTTTAATACTTTGGAGTGATCGAACCCCTTTATTTCAAACAGAAATGAATAATTCGTGTGTAGATTGTCAGAAATATACTTTTACACCGCTAAATGCATGTATGTTAGTTATTTATATTTTGTTAATCATATTTATAGTTGGTGGCAACATATTAACCATAATAGCTATATGGAAAACAGAAGTTCTTAGAACTGTTGCCAACGTCTATGTTGCTTTATTAGCATTCTCAGATATAATAGCTGGGCTAGCACTACCTCTTCAAATGGTGTACGAGTTTCCCGAGGGCCGACGTGAATTAGACGAAAACAAATCCCTGTGTTTAGGACGACATGTGGTGTTTTTCTTTTCAATAAGTCTATCTCTTTGTAGTATAGTAGTCATTGCTTTCGATCGAGCCGTTTTCATCGGATTTCCTTATGTTTATAATCGTATTGCAACCTACAAGCAAGCTGTGATTGTTGCATGCATCTGTATGATTATTGCTGTCGTTGACGGAACTGTAACGCTGTACGACAATGATTGGCAACCATTTGAATCCTGTACGGTGGAAAAAGTTTTGTCGTGGACATATCAACTATACGGACAAATTATTCCCATTATGATCTGTTTTTTCCTGGCAGGTGCTTGTTACGGTTATATATTCTATATCGCGAAAAAGCACCAGAAATCCATTATGAGTGTCCAGAAAAACGCCAAAGTTGCCAATGACATGAAAATAATTAAAGTGTTGTTCTTAATCTATGGAGTTTTCTTACTGTGTTGGATGCCTGTAATTTTATATATTACATTTGCACACTTCTTTCAAATACCAGCCCTGGTGTTGAACATCACCCTCCCTATAGCTGTTTTGAATTCGGGAATGAATTTCATCATATATGCCGTGAAGAACAAGGATTACAGAAAAGCTTTTAAGGAAATTCTACATCTAGATTGCACTCTAAAACGTACCGCTAAAGTAACTTCTCGAAAGACGAATGATATTGTGATAGAAACTTTTTAAAACATCGTATTACAAAATGGATTAATGTTTTATATTCTGGTTCTTTACTGAACTTTGAAAATACGAAAAGCTAATAACTAGTTTACATTTATCATATAAACACAACTGACAACGTAAAGAACGACCAATATATTTGTATTCATACCAATATACTGTGATAGGGAATTGTAACAACGTATTAACTGTTCTGTATGTGACACTATGGGAACAGATGATCGTTTAGGACCTGCTTGGACTTCATGTTGTTGGATCAATTATTTCAATCATCAATTAATTGACTCTGGAACACCGTTTATGTTGTTACTAAGTTTATCTAACGAATATAGCAAACTACGAAACTACAATATCTATGATAGTTACTTTTTGAGTGATTAAAATCTCCACGGTCTGAGTTTAATATCCCTTCTAACTCAGACCTAACGGCTTAAACGTGGCAAGAGCCACATACTTCTTGTTAGTTCTACATAAGGTTCGCGCTAGGATGATGTGTTCGCCCTAGCCTCTAAGCCGAGGGGGCTATAGGTATGTTCCCCTTGAGCTCCGAATGATTGTCTGAAGTAAATCAAACCCGCTCTATAATATATAGAAGTATAATGCAGCAGCTATTAGGGCGGGACAATTACCATTTTTGGTTAAGTGTTTCGAATAGGCACCGTTTAACGTCAACATTATTCTAGTTAAATGTACTAATCTGTGCCCGAAATGACTGGACGATAGTACCCTACTTTCCAGAAATGGATACTGACATAACTGGGGGTGCGTTAGTCTAAGTCTAGACTCTAAGTTAGTAGTAGGATAATGCAAGCTACTTCATTACTCTAGTTTTCATCACACATCATGTAGGTAAAGATTTCTATATTAAACAAAACATTTTTCTTAGACCTAAAATAACCCTATAGTGTTATATGTATTGTACTTTCAAAATACGAAGTTCTATAATAACACTTTTATGTTTATAAACTCAATTGACAATATACAGGCCGATCTATATGTTTAATCAGATATATCCTGTGGAGAAATTTTAAAACGTATGGATTAATGCCTTGTCAAATAGAAGTACCTGCTGCTATTGTAACATTTGGGTGATTAGTTATTTCGTTAAACAAGGCGGCAAAATAACAATGCATATAATAATTTAAAAGATAAAAGCTTTTTCACGGAAAATCTCTTTCAAGAAACGAAAACAAAACGGCAAAAATAACAATTCTTAAATTTAAAGGCTTTCTTTTCAAGAAACGAAAACCTATTATGAACTTGACTAGTTTCATTATTTATTAAAAATAAATATTCATCATCGAAAATTAGATTCTTTATTTTATAGGTCAACCAGTTCCTAGTCCTTTGTTTAGCCATTTCCCAGCTATTTTGGGGGGCTCTTGGTGCTGCAGTTGTCTTGCGGTTCGGAGAATTTTCATACCGACATCCCTACCCACCCTTCAAGATCAATAGCTTAATAACTTAACTTTCTAAATATTTACTACGATCTCGTATCCTGTACGTTGGATATTGTTTCAAAACAAAATCTACTTTTGATATCGCCATCGGAATTCTGAAATATCCATATGAGGAAGGTAACTCGGAAACGTAAGGTGGCGGAGCGCTGAATATCAATGAGTCACTCCAAATTTCACAATCAATATGCCTAATCCTCAAACAGTCATGATACATCACAACGGGGCATAAAAAGACAATCCGATATCTGTAAATCTGATAATTTATTTGTCATTTCTATTATAGTTAAATTTCGGATCTGCAGTTATTAGTACCGGTATCTTTAATTTAACCATGGTAATCGTTATTTGGATCATAAGGGGTTTGATAAGAATATTGATAAGCGCTGAATATTGATATGGTTAGTTCACCACTGATCCCAATCCTTCACACACAATTTGCAGACAATATGTTAAAACCTGTAGCATTTAGAAGGTTTTCGGTAAATGGAATGTAACTCCGAAATGAAACGACTGATAGAGTTCGTCACCCCATGAACCCAATGCTGTGTTGTGTTAGTTTGATTTTGGGGATAATATTTATCATCAGTGATAATATCGAGTAATGTTATATAGATATATGTATGCTTCCCACTGCTTCTAAACAATCAATCAATGCGCGTGTCGATATTCAGGTAAAGATGTATAAGTGTTACGTATAATCGTACGCGATATCATGATGTGTGGAACCGCTCGTTACATCTCACTTAGTCATATTGTACTAGAATGCTTGCTATATGATTATGTGTAAAAGCGGTTCGTATGTATAGATTGACATATACAAAACTGATCAAACACTGATTGTTTTTGCAGATATAACCGTATCGTATTCATCCGAACGGGAGTGGTGTCGCTTCAGAATGTCAAGACTGAAGAGAAAACTTCATTCGGTTAGATAACCTGTTCTCTGGTTTTAAAATACTAAAGCTATTGTCGTTAAATATGGCAGTAATAATCGTTGGGTCGTAGAGAAAGTGGACTTTTAACATTCTACAACATTCCTGATAACAGTTTTATACAATTAAAATTACTAGACAAATATCTAAGTCAGTAAATTGTTAATTAACTTAAATTAGTGACATATATAAAAGATGAATGGAAAATTATTAATTGGATCAACTTTGTGTATAGGTTAATACTAAATGATATTTAATTGGTTCGCCATTATCGAATCTTGTTTGTGAAGGATAGTTCTCCGCTTGTAATTTTCAGCATTAAATTGTGGAAATGTTGAGCTATAAACATTTAATGTGAATAACAAGGAGACGCTTCTCAAGAAAATAATTCTAAGTATGCGAAGTTTATACATATATATACTGAACCCGTGTTTATCAGGTACATAATTTCGACACTTTCATCCACTGGGATATTCAACAATTTCCTACTGAAAGTTTACAACAAGGTGTTAATTTAGTGTTTGATTGTGATACTTTTTTTTAAAAAAAAAATGAGGCTTGGGGTTTAATACTTTGGAGTGATCGAACCCCTTTATTTAAAACAGAAATGAATAACTCGTGTGTAGATTGTCAGGAATATACTTTTACACCGCTAAATGCATGTATGTTAGTTATTTATATTTTGTTAATCATATTTATAGTTGGTGGCAACATATTAACCATAATAGCTATATGGAAAACAGAAGTTCTTAGAACTGTTGCCAACGTCTATGTTGCTTTATTAGCATTCTCAGATATAATAGCTGGGCTAGCACTACCTCTTCAAATCGTATACGAGTTTCCAGAGGGCCGACGTGAATTAGACGAAAACAAATCCCTGTGTTTAGGACGGCATGTGGTGTTTTTCTTTTCAGTAAGTCTATCTCTTTGTAGTATAGTAGTCATTGCTTTCGATCGAGCAATTTTCATCGGATTTCCTTATGTTTATAATCGTATTGCAACCTACAAGCAAGCTGTGATTGTCGCATGCATCTGTATGATTATTGCTGTCGTTGAAGGAACTGTAACGCTGTACGACAATGATTGGCAACCATTTGAATCCTGTACGGTGGAAAAAGTTTTGTCGTGGACATATCAACTATACGGACAAATTATTCCCATTATGATCTGTTTTTTCCTGGCAGGTGCTTGTTACGGTTATATATTCTATATCGCGAAAAAGCACCAGAAATCCATTATGAGTGTCCAGAAAAACGCCAAAGTTGCCAATGACATGCAAATAATTAAAGTGTTGTTCTTAATCTATGGAGTTTTCTTACTGTGTTGGATGCCTGTAATTCTATATATTATATTTGCACACTTCTTTGAAATACCAGTCCTGGTGTTAAACATCACCCTCCCTATAGCTGTTTTGAATTCGGGAATGAATTTCATCATATATGCCGTGAAAAACAAAAATTACAGAAAAGCTTTTAAGGAAATTCTACATCTGGATTGCACTCTGAAACGTACTGCTCAAGTGACTCCTCGAAAGACGAATGATATTGTGATAGAAACGTTTTAAAACATCGTATTACAAAATGGATTAATGTTTTATTTTCTGGTTCTTTATTGCACTTTGAAAATACGAAAAGCTAATAACTAGTTTACATTTATCATATAAACACAACTGACAACGTAAATAACGACCAATATATTTTTATTCCTACAGATATACTGTGATAGGGAATTGTAACAACGTATTAACTGTTCTGTATTGTACTCTCAAAATACGAAGTTCTAATAACAGTTTTATGTTATTGACAATTTACAGAACGATCTATATGTTTAATCAGATATATCCTGTGGAGAAATTTTAAAACGTATGGATTAATGTCTTGTCAAATAGAAGTACCTGCTGTTATTGTAACATTTGGGTGATTAGTTATTTCGTTAAACAAGACGGCAAAATAACAATGCATATATTTAAAAGATAAAAGCTTTCTCACGGCAAATCTCTTTCAAGAAACGAAAACAAAACGGCAAAAATAACAATTCTTAAATTTGAAGGCTTTCTGTGACCTTGTATTGTATTGACTAATTTCTTTATTTATTAAAAATAAATATTCATCATCGAGATTCCTTATTTTATAGGTCAACCAGTTTGTAGTGCTTTGTTTAGCCTTTTCCCAGCTATTTTGGATATTGTTTCAAAATAAAATCTACTTTTGATATCGCCATCGGAATTCTAAAATATCGATATCAGGTAGGTTTATTTTGGTGCACTGCGTTTGATAGATATGCCGTAGGTTTATTTTGGGGCACTGCGTTTGATAGATATGCCGTAAAAAAACAAAAAAACATGTTTGTAGAAATACAAACGTCTGAGATAAATTATGTGACGATCGAAATCCCTGCCATAATTAGAAAATAAAGACCTTCAAAGTTAATAAAAAATAAATAGAACATTGTATTTTTACTCCACCTCTCCTGACCATCAACACATCGAAATAGTCTAGATAAAAAGCCTGTACACTGTAAAAAATATCCATTTTTTATGTGGCCGAATTCCGTAATTTAACACCTTTTTTCTGTTAATCGATGGATTTTTTGGAGAAATTGTGTTAATAGTGTG